TACGATATAGTCACCGAGCCATCTTCGGACGGCCAAAAGTGCCAGTAAACGGCAAAAATCCACGCGAATTATCGCTTTGCCAGTAGGAAATGACCCGCTGAATCGAATGAGACCATGATCAGCTCCATAGGACAGATAGTTTTCGAGATATCGGCGCTCGAAGTCAGCTATTCGCTTTTAGTGCCAATAGGAGCACTCCGGTAGGCTACTACATCTCCATTTTCCAGAATTTCCCGATTTCCACCACAGATTCGTTCATTTCGACATCGAATTAGTCTATGTGAATTTTTTCAGATATTTAATAGGTCAAATAAAAATTTTCATTTTCCGACCTAAGACTTCAGTACGATATAGTCACCGAGCCATCTTCGGACGGCCAAAAGTGCCAGTAAACGGCAAAAATCCACGCGAATTATCGCTTTTCCAGTAGGAAATGACCTGCTGAATCGAATGAGACCATGATCAGCTCCATAGGACAGATAGTTTTCGAGATATCGGCGCTCAAAGTCAGCTATTCGCTTTTATTGCCCATAGGAGCACTCCGGTAGGCTACTACGTCTCCATTTTCCAAAATTTCCCGATTTCCACCACAGATACGTTGATTTCGACATCGAATTAGTCTATGTGAATTTTTTCAGATTTTTAATAGGTCAAATAAAAATTTTCATTTTCCGACCTAAGACTTCAGTACGATATAGTCACCGAGCCATCTTCGGACGGCCAAAAGTGCCAGTAAACGGCAAAAATCCACGCGAATTATCGCTTTGCCAGTAGGAAATGACCCGCTGAATCGAATGAGACCATGATCAGCTCCATAGGACAGATAGTTTTCGAGATATCGGCGCTCGAAGTCAGCTATTCGCTTTTAGTGCCAATAGGAGCACTCCGGTAGGCTACTACATCTCCATTTTCCAGAATTTCCCGATTTCCACCACAGATTCGTTCATTTCGACATCGAATTAGTCTATGTGAATTTTTTCAGATATTTAATAGGTCAAATAAAAATTTTCATTTTCCGACCTAAGACTTCAGTACGATATAGTCACCGAGCCATCTTCGGACGGCCAAAAGTGCCAGTAAACGGCAAAAATCCACGCGAATTATCGCTTTTCCAGTAGGAAATGACCTGCTGAATCGAATGAGACCATGATCAGCTCCATAGCACAGATAGTTTTCGAGATATCTGCGCTCAAATTCAGCTCTTTGCTTTTATTGCCAATAGGAGCACTCCGGTAGGATATTACGTCTCCATTTTCCAAAATTGCCCGATTTCCACCACAGATACGTTGATTTCGACATCGAATTAGTCTATGTGAATTTTTTCAGATTTTTAATAGGTCAAATAAAAATTTTGATTTTCCGACCTAATACTTCAGTACGATATAGTCACCGAGCCTTCTTCGGACGGCCAAAAGTGCCAGTAAACGGCAAAAATCCACGCGAATTATCGCTTCTCCATTAGGAAATGACACGCTGAATCGAATAAGACCATTATCAGCTCCATAGGATAGATTGTTTTCGAGATATCGGCGCTCAAAGTCAATAGGAGCACTCCGGTAGGCTACTACGTCTCCATTTTCCAAAATTTCCCGATTTCCACCACAGATACGTTGATTTCGACATCGAATTAGTCTATGTGAATTTTTTCAGATTTTTAATAGGTAAAATAAAAATTTTCATTTTCCGACCTAAGACTGCAGTACGATATAGTCACCGAGCCATCTTCGGACGGCCAATAGTGCCAGTAAACGGCAAAAATCCACGCGAATTATCGCTTTTCCAGTAGGAAATGACCCGCTGAATCGAATGAGACCATGATCAGCTCCATAGGACAGATAGTTTTCGAGATATCGGCGCTCGAAGTCAGCTATTCGCTTTTAGTGCCAATAGGAGCACTCCGGTAGGCTACTACGTCTCCATTTTCCAGAATTTCCTGATTTCCACCACAGATTCGTTCATTTCGACATCGAATTAGTCTATGTGAATTTTTTCAGATTTTTAATAGGTCAAATAAAAATTTTCATTTTCCGACCTAAGACTTCAGTACGATATAGTCACCGAGCCATCTTCGGACGGCCAAAAGTGCCAGTAAACGGCAAAAATCCACGCGAATTATCGCTTTTCCAGTAGGAAATAACCCGCTGAATCGAATGAGACCATGATCAGCTCCATAGGACAGATAGTTTTCGAGATATCGGCGCTCGAAGTCAGCTATTCGCTTTTAGTGCCAATAGGAGCACTCCGGTAGGCTACTACATCTCCATTTTCCAGAATTTACCGATTTCCACCACAGATTCGTTCATTTCGACATCGAATTAGTCTATGTGAATTTTTTCATATATTTAATAGGTCAAATAAAAATTTTCATTTTCCGACCTAAGACTTCAGTACGATATAGTCACCGAGCCATCTTCGGACGGCCAAAAGTGCCAGTAAACGGCAAAAATCCACGCGAATTATCGCTTTTCCAGTAGGAAATGACCCGCTGAATCGAATGAGACCATGATTAGCTCCATAGAACAGATAGTGTTCGAGATATCGGCGCTCGAAGTCAGCTATTCGCTTTTAGTGCCATTAGGAGCACTCCGGTAGGCTACTACGTCTCCATTTTCCAAAAATTTCCCGATTTCCACCACCGATTCGTTCATTTCGACATCGAATTAGTCTATGTGAATTTTTTCAGATTTTTATTAGGCCAAATAAAAATTTTCATTTTCCGACCTAATACTTCAGTACGATATAGTCACCGAGCCATCTTCGGACGGCCAAAAGTGCCAGTAAACGGCAAAAATCCACGCGAATTATCGCTTCTCCAGTAGGAAATGACACGCTGAATCGAATAAGACCATTATCAGCTCCATAGGATAGATTGTTTTCGAGATATCGGCGCTCAAAGTCAGCTATTCGCTTTTATTGCCAATAGGAGCACTCCGGTAGGCTACTACGTCTCCATTTTCCAAAATTTCCCGATTTCCACCACAGATACGTTGATTTCGACATCGAATTAGTCTATGTGAATTTTTTCAGATTTTTAATAGGTCAAATAAAAATTTTCATTTTCCGACCTAAGACTTCAGTACGATATAGTCACCGAGCCATCTTCGGACGGCCAAAAGTGCTAGTAAACGGCAAAAATCCACGCGAATTATCGCTTTTCTAGTAGGAAATGACCCGCTGAAT